TGTTGTTTTTTGCTATATTTGATGTTTTGCAATGTTGTTGCTGATAAGTATATTATATGGTGGTTGTTACTATGTTCTTATGAACGTGATAATGTCATTATTATCGTGTTCTTTCCGGAACACGCTTTTTTGCAACGTGGCTGCTGATAAATGTGGTGCTTGTTGCTTTGTTTTTATGTAAGTAATAATGTTATTATTATCATCGTGTTCTTCCCGGCACGGGTATCATGTAAAAAACCTGTAAAACGTCAAAAAAAACTGTAAGATCTCAACCACGTCATTCCACGTTTGCTCACTAGGATCGTTGTGAACGTCCATCTATGGAGGAATCACTCAACTAAACTAGACGTTATTGGTTGCATAGCTTTGTGAGGCTGAGTGATCCGGGTCTGTAATTGGTGCTGTTGCGTTTTGTAGAACTTCCGATTTCACTGTTTTTCACTTGAAACTTATAGAGGGTAGTCTTATAGATTATTTTAAAACAAGAAAAGTGTGGATGAAGCACTTTTTTCATGAATTTTTTTCCCAAATCACTGTATTTTTAGCAGTTTTTCCACCACTAACTCCACCGCCATCCGCCGTAACACATTGACGTCTGTGCATATGTCATAGTATATGAGAGGCGCTTGCCTGCACTGTTGCCAGATTGGGCTCCGCATTAAGGGGAAAGTATGAAAAGTGAAAAATTTATATACGCATATTTAAACAATAAAACACAAAAGCGAAAAACTGAAACAAACAACAGTGGCAAAATAAAAAGCGATTCTTAATAATTATATAACAAAATATAACAGTAGTAAACTGAAAAACAGTTGTAAATAATTATAAAAACAGTAAAACAAGAATTAATTCCATGTAATTATAGAAAACAAAAAAGAACACAGGGAACTGTGGTTGCTGGGCCTCTTCGATGTCTCCACGAAACGTGGGCACATTATTTATGTTCCAAATAGGAGTGCGACTACGCTTGAGAGCGAAATACTAAAATTTTTCAAGCCAGGAACAGAAATCTGGAAGAACGGTTGGTCCGGCTACAATCGCTTGGAGAACCTAGGAGGTGTTTCCCCCTACATCCATGAAACATTGAACCGCACACTAAATTTTGTGGATCCAGTGACAGGAGTGTGCACAATGAAATTGAAGGGCACTGGTCTAGATTAAAGCAATTTTTGAGGCGGCTGGGTGTCATGCAATGGCCTCATTTACCCGAATATATTGACCAGTTGATTTGGTGGGGCTCTATGGTCCTAGACCTGGAGACCGATTCAAAAATATATTGCGATAAATTGCCGCAAAGTATACCTTTTAATATTGAATACCTTCTGTTCATCTTAGTTTTTGGATTTGTTTTTTAAATTACTGTTTTTACTTTTTGTTTTTGTTATCACTTAGAATTGCTTTTTATTTTACTGTTTGTTGTTTTTTATAATTACATGAAATTGGTTTTGTTTGTTTTACTACCGTTCTTTTTTTGTTACAACTTAGAATTGCTTTTTATTTTACTGTGTTGTTTTTTGTTTTTTATAATTACATGGAATTGTTTCTTGTTTTACTGTTTTATAATTATTTACAATTGTTTTTCAGTTTGCTACTGTTATGTTTTCTTTTATAATTATTAAGCATCGCTTTTTATTTTGCCACTGTTTTTTGTTTCAGTTTTTCGCTTTTGTGTTTCATTATTTATTATACGTATATAAATTTTCCACTTTTCATATTTTCCCCTAAATGCGGAGCCCAGTCTGGCAACAGTGCAGGCAAGCGCCTCTCATATACTATGACATATGCACAGACGTCAACGTCATACGGCAGATGGCGGTGGAGTTAATGGTGGAAGAACTGTTAAAAATACAGTGTTTTGGGAAAAATTTTTCATGAAAAAAGTGCTTCATCCACACTTTTCTTGTTTTAAAATAATGTATCAGACTATCCTCTATATGTTTCAAGTGAAAAAACAGTGAAATCGGAAGTTCTACAAAACGCAACAGCACCCTGTAGTTTTTATCTCTGAGAAAAAAGTTGGTTGAATAGCAAGATCGCCTCTGGATGATTATGTGTATTGGTCTGCATGTGTATAAAGTCAGTGATATTTGCTGTGTGTGAGAAAATCATTACTGAATATGCCGAATATGACGGGTTATTTATATGTTGTGCTTTCTGAAGAGAGGTTACGTTCAAAGTTATAAATTACGCAAAACTGAGGAGAATTACGGGAAATCATCGCCGCGCCCGCGTTGTGTGTAATTACTTTTAGCATGTATATGGCTTGTAATTCGACAGTGTACAGTGAATATAATTATATGAAGGCCTCGTCTCGCAAATAAAGATGTGTAGTATCCTTGATTTCGGCCCGAACGATATCACTATTTAAAGTAAACAAACCCCCTCCCTGGGCTCCTCGCATCTCCGTCGCTGGTACTCATCGCCGGAATTCTGTCTACTATTTTGTGCCGTACGATCACATCGCTCCGCGCGTTTTTTCTCGGAAATATTTTGTTTATGTGCAAAAATGCCAAAGAGGCATAGAATCTGTAGCCACTCACGCGATCGTGTTGGTTTGAGCTCCGTTTTGAAGAAGAATGAACGTCGCTTGAGTAAACTGGAGAACCTTCGGAAACGACGCCGTACCGGATCACCCTCTTACTCATCCGATTCGTCTCACACGCACAGTGTGTTATACCACGAATTCTTCAAGTTACCACAGTGGTAATTCTGGTCATGATCACATCACTGCATCCGAAGATAAGGACAATAACCACAGTGAGTATTGTAATTTTGATTTTTAGCTGATGACTACATTTTTACCATAGACGGTACACACACTTGCCTAGAGTGGCAATTCATTAGTGTGAGAGAACATTGTCTGGAGTGACAAGACCGAGTCTGAGATACTAGTAACCTACCTAGAGTGGTAGTGGTACACCTGCCTAGAGTTGTAGTGGTACACCTACCTAGAGTGGTAGTGGTACATACAATCACAGCCGACGTCAACTACGAGCCGTGATGAAAGAAAGGCAACACGGCGCTCGGACGGCATGGTAGTATACTACCTGTGAACGTCGGCCGCCATCGGCTGTGTGCTCCGTCTCCGTGTAACGTTGAAGAACTAAATTTAATTTTGGAAAAGAGGACAGTTCGATTCGATACAAATCGTCTGAATATGAAATAGCTCTAAAAAATTTAAAAATACGAAATAATCGTGATATATATGAGTCGCTAATGCAGTTATTACCTAATTAAAAGTATTAGTTTACGTTTTTGATGTCAGCACACTGTGTTCCAGCAGGCCCAGCTTGGATATTTGGAGTTACTTGTTGTTTTTAATACATTTACTTTCAGTTTTACTGTTATTTGTCAATTTTACATAATCATTCAAAATTATTTTTGAAAAAATAGACAAAAGCTTAGATAAAATATCTGCATAATTGCGGCCACAGATGCAAGTTAAAGAAAATTCACTGTATATAAAGTCAGACTGAATGCTGAGCAAGGTTAACTGACACAAAATAAATTTTTGATTATTGCTTTTCAAGAAGAACATTTCCGATCTATCTACATTAATAATAGATTCAAAAATGGCATACATATGGTAGAATATGATTGGTACATAACTGGTTGGAATTGACAGTCCTCCTCTTTGCAAATGATCAAAATAAACATTTGTTGTTAATGAACCTTTTTCTTTAACTATTAGCGAATTGCATATCTCGCAGTTTAGGTTTTTAGAGATAGCGTGTGAAGCATATCCAGATATATAAGTCTTAGTACTATCCTCTATGTCACAATTGGCTAAGTAATTTGTCTCAAATACTTCATTGAATATATCCAAAACTTCAGGATTTTGTTTGGTATCCAAGAAATCAAAATTTTCTTGAGTTTCTAAGCAGTTTTGGAACCTTGTTTAAATTTCTGCTAAAGAAAATGACGATTTCTTTTCATTGAAAATATGCTTCAGCCGTATTTTCTTTCAGCATTTAAAATTTCATCATATGACACATTGTAATTGCAGCCACATAAAAGTCTATAATTGCCAAATCGTTTTTCTAAATTATCAGTGGTGAATTTTCCAGGCAATACATACTCAATGTCAAATTGATTAAATGAATATTCAATTATATTAAGTAGAGTCAGCGTGCTTTGATATAGAGCTGTATACGTTTCTGGTGTCAGGCGTCCATTATTATTCTCTAGATTATGCCATTTTTCTAACCATATCAGGAATTTTTTTTAAAAATTGTACTCTATAATCATATTTATTGGTAATAGGCTTACAAAATTCGTTTCGCTTCAATTCTCCTTTTAATACACTTGTATTACTGACAATATCCCACCAATTCCTGATTATTTCCAAAAAGTGTGCACCATCATTAAACTTTAATTCTTTCATAGCAGCTATTGTTGAGTGATGGAATAAATTATCTACAGAATTTACATTTTTCCTTTCAAATGAATTTGGATGCAATGTTTTATAATTTAATTTATATGCTTTCTTAACTACAGCTTCTTTTTCCAATTGATATACAGCACGAATGTTTTCAAATTTAGCATACTGATACATTATTGTCAAAATTAGGATACACAAAAGTTTTTTTCAATAGTTGAAATCCTTAGCGTCCTGAGGCGCGAACAGCCACAGTCATCACATATTATACACTTCTTAGTTTATTTTAAAGCACAGAAGCACTACAACTGGAGTCTATTTCTCATATATTATAGTCACCGATCACTTTGAACACATACACAAACTTTGAAGCTTAGAAAACAAGCTTATCTCTTAATTACAGCCTCTGCGATTCCCAAATCACAAATTAAAAAGGTTATGTTTTCTCAGCGTCTTGAGCGGCGGGAGTAACACTACCACCTACGTTGCCAGATTTCTTTGTTCACGGCTCGTAGTTGACGTCGGCTGTGATACAATCTAACCATCTGTCTAGAGTGACAGAAGAACCTGTCTTGCTGTTTTCTCTACCTAGTGTGGTAGTCACCTTATCAGTCCTGTGGCTCAGCCATACTGCCTGAACAAACTGGATAGGTTCCAACACACCCGTCAGATACCATAATGTCCATTTTCACAGCTGAGGGAGATTCGGAAAAAATATTTTCTGCTGCAATCCAACCGGAATTGGCTGCTTGTTGGTCAAAGATCCTTACAACTGGATTATCAGCAGAGACGAAAGAGACTCTGATCAAAAAATACCTCCCCCCAGAAAATTGTCAAGAACTTCAACCCCCCTTAATAAATCCAGAAGTCAAGAGAGCTTCACCAGTAAATGCTGTCCGTCGGGATGAACGCATAGCACGTCTTCAACAACAAGTTAGAGCAGCCACTTCAGCCATTTCTCTTTTGATCGCTGAAATGCTAAAAAAAGAGGGAGGGGCAAATAGGGAATATATAGAGTCTCTCAATGACATAGGGCGGTTACTATGTGATGTTCACCATAATGAAACCGTCTCACATAGAGAACTAATCTGTTTGAATTTGAATAAGGATTTCAAAGAAACATTGAAAGACGTCTCCCATTGGAAAATTGCTTTTTGGAAGCGATTTAGACTCTACATTGAAAACAGCAAAAGAACTTGAAAAGTCTACTGAACAACTGAAGGTTCATAAAAAGAATTACCGCCAACCAAATCAGGGAAACTTCAAACGTCCATCTCTGTCAAGGAGGGAAACCCAACAGAGTGGACGCAAACTTCATGTTCCTACCAGTCACCAAAGGAGTTACCAGTACAACAAGTCTCGTCGACATCGACCCGGAAGGCAGGACCGACAGAGCGACAAGAGAAGTCGACTTCAATCTTAGAGGTCAGTAAACCTTGTGGAAGGTTGAAGTACTTCGTAAAAAGATGGAGACATCTTTCCGTTAACAAAAAGATTCTTTCATATATAAAGGGTCTTAGGGTGGATTTTACAATTTAACAAACCATTGTTCTGCACCAATAGGGTACGAGTACCAAACAGTCCGTTAAATATACCCAATCAGCCTCAAGATCTCTCCGTCAAATTTTTGGCAGCAAATAGCATCAAACTATTCAAAACAAAACACTGTAAAATATGAAGTGACAGCTTGCCATTGAAATCTTTTCAGTTTATTAAATATTATGAAATTATGTAAAACTGAGCCAAAATTTTTAAAAATGCTTGATGTCTGAGTAAAATCTATTTATTCAGATTAGCTGAAGATTTTTCCATGTGTACTGCAACCTTTGTAATCCATATGTGATTATATCACCTACTGTGCGCTTATAGTTTATGCTATATTTGCAAACTTGCACTTCCAAACCCTTACATGAAAAAGCCTTTTCAATCAAATTTTTGTTAGGTGTTGCATTTCAACACCTTCATACACTTCTTTCCAGTTCCTCAACGATATTTTAACCCCACTGGTCCGAAACTGTTCAACAGTTTCAACATTCATACATACAATTGCAGTTGCAGTTTTTTGTTTTAATTTTAGTGTATAATCAGTCGCACCATCGGTGATGGTACATTCAACATAACCACGTATTTAGGGGTTCGTACACGACGTCATCATTAGGCGCTCCTCTGGCGATGCCCGATTGCATTCAGGTGCCTTCTGCAGGTACCTTTTCACCGAGGTCAGGAGTTGATACCAGCGCTGCTCTAGTTTTTTTTGCTCTAGGCATGGCCATCCTCAATTAATCGCATAAAAAACAAGCCCAAGGCAGAAAAACACACCTGAAGACGAACACAAATCTCTACCGCAAATTCGTCAACAACTCAAACAAAAACAACAGATGATTCACCGCCTGGCTTTGACCGTAAATCGTCGTGGAACACGAGACACCACAGAATTTTTATAATTACGTCAATACGAGCATATAACAGTACAGAAAGAGCTATCCAAGGGTAAGACGAGTTCCGAAACCACCCGAATCTGTCAAAAAATGGCTGTGACGTCACGAACCACTGGAAATCACTAGCTGGTTACCGTCTGGCGGCGTAACATGTAGAGGACACTGGTGTAGAAACAGCTGATCCTTAAATTCGGTTACGTTAAGTCGTGCATGAGCCCGACATTATTTTTAAGTAATTACTAATAATTTTAGGTCTATGTCTACAGTAATTGCATTATGCACCTCGAAGATGTAGGGATTAACATGCTTTACACATATCGGTGTTTTAGGACGGGGACGACATACTGTTTTGACTGCTTTGAAGAAATTCATTAACCCATGAATTTATAACAAATGGTTACTATTATGATGTAAAGAGAGATGATGAATTGGTTGGAATACATTTTATATTCTATTTTCTTGCAAATGCGCTCAATTCAACAGGTATGTGTAGCTATAATGATCACATATACACACAGTGTATTGAACTTAACAAATTTCGAGAGTGCCATGAATTAACAAACGACCAAACCTGCTGCCAAATTTAACAGCTAGAAAAATCGACCTATTATTTCTCCCATTCCCATTCGCTGAGGGGATAACGGATGGTCAAATGTACACCTATAACATAAATCAAAATACATGAAAGTTGTCCTGTTTTCTCTGTACAAAAGCATCATGTTGGAATCAAAAAGTGGTCTTGTTTATAATACAGTCGAATTTTCACGATTTTATTCAACATTTTAAAAGAATACACTGATATTCTGAGACCTTTGACAGCTTCCGTCAAATTGCATTTCGATAAGGTATTTTCCTATTGGTCCATAATAATAATGTTGGTGAAATCGGCCCTTAGTATACCTTTACATGCCTTACCAGGACAAACAGTTGCCCATCAGAACCAAAGCGTTCTAAAAAAGAATATAAAACTATTAGTAGCTTAATTCGGGAGTCAATCAAAGATGGAACGATTTGTCCTGTAATCCCAAGGGAAAATCAGAACAGAAACGTTGAGATTTTTAGAGCACTTAGGGTTTTCGATAAATTATGAAAAAAGCAACTTGAATCCAAATCAGATATGTCGGTATCTAGGTTTTCTGTATAATTCACAGAATCTGTCAATTTCCTTAACGGAAGATAAACAAATTAGAGTTTTTAAGCTTTTGAATAAGTTTCATTCATTAAAAGAATGTACAATTCGTGAATTTTCGAAGCTCATTGGAACATTAGTGTCGGTGGCACCTGCAATCAAATATAGCTTTCTAAAATGTCTATCCCCAAATGCCTTTCGTCTTATTTTAGATGGTGGAGTAGTGTTGTAAAGAATTCTGCCAACTCAATTGACTCGAAGAAGTTCCAATTAGAAATATTTACTGATGCTTCGACATCAGGATGACTCCATCTACGGTTTTTGGTCAGAAGAGGAAAAATACTCTCATACCAATGAACTAGAACTATTAGCCGTATTTTTTGGTCTGAAATGCTATACAAAACATCTTCGAAATTGTAATATTTTATGCAGAATAGATAATACTACCGCAATATGCACCATCAGTCGAATGGGAAGTGTTAAATATAGAAATCTGAATAATTTGGCAAGAAAAATCTGGACTTGGTGCCAGGATAGAAACTTATACATATTTGCCTCTTATATACCCTCAAAAGAACACGTTCATGCAAACAAGGCATCAAGAGAGATTCATAAGGAAACAGAATGGACTATTTCTAACTATGCATTTGAAAAAATAAAACATTTGATAACCCCACCATTGATCTCTTTGCTAGTCGCTTAAGTAAAAGTGTCCAACCTTTGTATCCTGGATGAGAGATCCGGAAGCTTTTCAAGTCGATGCCTTCACATTAGACTGGTCATAGTTTTACTTCTATGCATTCCCACCATTTTCCTTGGTTTCAAAAGTACTGCAAAAAATGATCAAGGATATGGCAAAGGGCATTTTGGTTATACCGATGTGGGTATCTCAACCCTGGTACCCCATTTTTCAAAAAATATTAGTTCAAGAACCCTTAATTTTCAAACCTAAAGAAGCCTTTCAGCGGGACTCCCCATCACTTGTCAGACAGCCTTTTCCTGGCAGCAGGGAAGTTATCCGGGAAGCGCTACTACGAAGAGCCGTACCTCAAGACTCTTTAGACATTTGCATATCATCCATTACCAACTCTACCTCAAACCGGCTTAAAACTTTGGTGGTCATTCTGCAGTTCGAAACAACCGAATCCATTTAATGTCAATGTTCCAGATGTTATGGAATTTCTAACATATCATTTTAAAGATGGTGCTTCTTATGGAACACTCAACTGTCATCGATCTGCTATATCTCAAATAGCTGGTCCTGAGATAGGCTCTGATATCAGGATAAAACGATTTTTCAAGGGAATTTTTGGGTTGAGACCTCCTTTACCCAAATACGAACATACTTTGGGATCCGGCTATTGTACTCAGTTAAAGATCTGGATAATGTCGATATTCCACTTGAGCTTCTCACACAAAAATTGGCAATTTTATTGGCTCTTGCAACCGGTCAGAGTGTCCAGACCTTGAGTTTAATCAACATTAAAAATATCAATATCCATCCTGAAAAAATCGAAATAAAGGTAACCGAAAGAATAAAGACATCCGCGCCGAACAAATTACAACCCTTACTTGTTTTTCCCTTCTTTCATGACGCAAAAATTTGCGTAGCGAAAACTCTCATAAAATACTTAGAAAAAACTAACGCCAGTAAAGCGAAATTATTATATTTGTGGTTCCACTTGACCAGAGAAATATGAAGTTATCCAAAAAACCTGTATTCGAATCTAAAGGAAATGTACTTTTGGAAATCAAATCAGATATGTGGGGCTCATTATATATGATTCCAATATGAGAACTTTTTTAAACTTCGCTGGACTGAAGAATTTTGAAAATTCAAATTTTCAGACTGCCGTATGACCTAATGGTTCCATGGAGATCCATATTATTCATTGATATTAACATATCAACAGTTGGTTATACATAGTTTTCTTGAAAGGCTGGACTTTTCTTCGTTCGGTACCTTTCATCCAAAGAAAACGTGTGGGAGCACACCTCAAGTCCTTATTTCGTTTTTTCAACTTTCCTATTACGGGGACTATAGAAAATAATACATCTGTAGATGCTTTACAACCTTTTATTAAAAAACTGGCTGACATATCATACAATAAACTCTTGGTGATTTTTTTCTCTTACATCCAGGACGTTTTCAACAATTTTCATATTACCTACATTTTTCTACATTTATGTGTATACAAAGCGTTTTTATAAACATATCTAAATTTAACGATTAAAAAATCACAACAGTTTTGGAAAGGTCTTAAAAATAACAGAAAGGGTAGGTATTCGATGTGACCTTATTTAACAGTCTTAAAGTACGGAAAGCAAATGACTCAAAAGATATATTGAGCATATCCGAGAATATTCCTTCTAATCTTACCGATCAAGATGATGAAACACCCTATTTAGAAAAATCTGCCCATTCTATAACTGTCAATACTTTACCAGCTCTACAATCAATTCACGGGTAGTATCTTGGAATCCATTTAGGCAAATGCACATTTTCTCGAAAACTTAGAAAGATCTGTTTTATTATTGGTGGGAAATCTAAACTATAACTGAACAACCAGGTAATTGGTCTTTGACGCTTTGTTCAAACCAAACTGGATATAAAATCCTATCTCCAGACTTCTTGGGTCAAGTGGGCTGTTCATTCTGTCAATACCCAATGTACTGTTTGAGTCACAAAACTAACATGAAAATAATAACGGAATATCACGTTTTCGGGGTATCTATTTCAATCATTACGACCGTTCATTATCATTAAATGGTAACTACGCAGCATTCTGGAAAGAACTGTAACAATAATTCACAAGAAGCAAATGAACAAATGAATGACCGTTATTATCTTAGTTCTT